CTGTTTGAGACTTCATGTCTATATATCCCCTTAATCCTTTTTTGGTCCATTTGACGCTATGAGAGCTTACCATTCTTTTGTTTTTGCCATTTACAGTCTGAAAATAGTTCTTTTTTTGGTCCATTATTCATGTGTGATTCCAGGTTGTCATGTTGGAGACTCGCAATTGCCACTTCATGTTATTATATCTCTTTTATTCCATTCTTCATGTTTAGTTAGCCTATCATCTTGTTTTTGCCATTTCTACAGTTCTGGAAATAGTCTTGATTTTGCTATAATTCGCTTTCTCATTAATTTTTTCTGTTTTGGTGAATTATTCTTGTATACTTCAATTTATAGGACCCTTTTGAGCCCAATTCTTGCTGCTCTTTCTTTAGTGTTGTATATTGATTTGAGGTTTGCCATATACTGTAAACATTCCATATTTTTGGTCCTCTTAATGTTGTTAGAAGGAAATTTTAGTTTGGATTTTTTCTTATTGATCACTTGCCTTCATTACCCTCTCTTGGCCTCATTGCCTGCAGTGCATGTTTTGCCCTAACCTATGCTTTCTGTTTTGGCCATATTTAATGTTGACACAGTGGCTTGTTGCTGGCGCAGCTCTGCCCCTCTTTGCATTACATGTCCCATATCGTGCATGTTGGCATAAGCTATAAGGATGGGGTGCGGCTAATGTGCGCAATTTCGGGACTGATTCATGTATTTGGTGTCATTTCGCCTCATTTGCGAGAGCTGTGTTTCCCCCATATTTTAGTGCTGAATCCATTAGAATGATGCTTTCATTTCTATGTCTTTGATGCATCTATTCATCGCCTGATTTGCGTGCCCGTGTCTACGCATTTCAGAGCACACGTTTTCACCATTCGGATCCCTATATGATCCCGTGTGCACGCATTTTCGACGGCACGTTCGTTTTCATCCATCTGGCATGCCTTATTGAGTTGGTGAGGCCTCTCATGTTGGTGTAAGCCCATATCATATTTCCAGTTCATTTTTTGGCTTGCGTATTGCATTGCCTCGGTTTTGCGTAGCGCCTGTGTGCACTGCATTCGATGCGCCTCATTTTTCATCATCGCATCTTTATGGTGGTGTGGCTTGGGCTCTCCATGTGTGTATACCCAATCATATTTTTCCATGTCATTTAACATTGCGGTATGCGATGTGGCGTCGGTTGCGTGGGCTCCGTATGCACGGCACTGTCGAGGCCCCTCATTTTCATTTCGCTTCTTATGTGGTGTGGCTGAGGCCTTCATGTTAGTATAAGTCCATGTGCATTCTATATGCCATTTTTGCCATTAATGCATTGAATGCCATTGCCTCGGTTTGGGTGCGTGTGCACGCACTTCGAGCACTTCATTTTATTTACCAGCTTCCTTATGTCGAGCCTGTCGCTGCAGCGCTCACTGCAGTCAAAGTCATCTCTAAGCGTTCGCGTTAGCGTTCCATGCCATTTAGTCACTTGCATTGCATATACCATCGCCTGATTTGCGTGCCTGTGTGCACGCATTTCGAGCATCTCATTTCATAGCATAGTGGCATACTAGGTGTCCTTAGTTGCATTCTGTCATTTTCTCGGTTTGGTCGCCGATCCCGTGCGCACGCAGTTTGAGATCTCATTTCATAGCATAAGTGCAACAGGTTGTCTTAATTGCCATTCGTCATTTTTCTCGGTTCGTGCCGTGTGCACGTTATTCGAGGCATCTCAATTTCATAGCAAACGTGCATTACTAGGTCGTCTCTACGATTGCATTCTGTCATTTCCGGTTTCGTTCGCGCCGCCTCGGCTGCGCATTTCGAGGCAGTCTCTTCTATTAGCACTTGTGACTGACGTAGGTTGTGACTAGTGTGCGAGTGTCTTGATATCAGCAGTATCGCATCGTGTTCGGGATAGATAGTCAAGCCCGGTGACACGGGAACCGAGGTGCGTTTATATCGCGAGTGACGGAACGTGTACCACAATTCCCAGTACACCGACACTTCCGGATCATCCATGATGGAGTTAGGTTTTGTTTGTGCTTTTCATGTGCATTTCACCACTTAATTGGTGCAATCGACTCCTCGGCCATTCATGCCTCGGTCATCGTCGAATTTGATGGGGGACGAGGATCGGGCATGCATTAATATTGTGAAAATACTTACTGCTATGCCCTTTCCTGCTCTCTGTTGTCAGGCAAAATCAGAATCGAAGGCAACTCTCCGGACTTGGCACGCTTTTCATAAGTTTGCATAACTCAAAAAATGTTAAAAGTTTAAAAAGTCACGATCTATTTTAAGTCATATCATCTTATTTTAAGTCACATCACCTCTTCTACCACATCAATCAAATTCCAACCATATTATTATAAAAAATCAAAAATAACACTTATTTAGGTCATCCCAACACAACCCCTAAGTCTCATTAGACTACCCTTATTTATTTTCTTTTTATTTTGATTCAAAATCAATGAATTACCATCACAGTAATAAAAATAAAATACAAATTTTATAAAGAAACTCTCAAAGTGAGGGTATTGGGATTGCTAAACCAAGGTATTAGTAATAGCCTTATTTGTTTTGGGAGAAGGCCTTGGGAGGGACTATGTCCCTTGGTATTACTAATACCCTGGAGGATTGCGTAAGGAGGAGTTAGAGATGGTCATATAGAAAAATATGAGGGATTAGAAATTTTTTATTTTTTTTTTATTTTTTATATATTGGAAATTTTTTTTAAAATATAATTTTTAATTTTTTATATTTTTTTATTTGTTTTATTATTTTATATAAAAATAATTTAACAATTCCTCACTATCAATCCCCTCGCTACTAATCTCCTCACTAATAATCCCCTCACTATTAATTTCCTCACTATCAATCTCCTCCATTCTATCTCCCAAAACAAACGGGACTGTTCTAATGTGTAGGAGTCCAAATCAAACTAGTAATTCGGTTGATTCGGCCTTTTTTTCAAATAACCCACTAAAATTAAAAAAAAAAAAAAAAGTTTAAAAAGACAAGTGAATGTATGCCTCATCATTTATAATTTTTATTATTAGTGATTTTTTTTTTTTTCAACACCACCATACAGAAATATTATATACTCAAAAAATATTTAAAATTTGAATCTATTGTATGAATTTAAATTTGATATCGTGTACAAACTAATTCACATATTTTGAATTTGTAACATTTTCACACCATCTAAATTCTCTAATATCAAGTTGTGCGATTTTTTTGTAAGATTAGTAATTGACCACTATTTATATAATAATTCAATAAACTAATATCCATGGATCTCTTCTCACATTTCAAATCCTACGCTTACCTATTTACTTTCGCAATGTATTTGCCAATCAATAATTACTTTAATTATCGGGGGCGTACTCACCTATATGAGTAATCTAAACAACTATATAAGGACCAGGATTCTTTTCAGTCCGGAATTAACCTGGAGCATGTTGTTGGGTCTGTGGGTGTCTATCACGAATTCTGTTTTGATAATTTGAATAATTTAATGTATAGAACTCGTCGAATAGTTTATCCCTGCAAAAAATTACGTTGATTGGATATTAGTAGTTACTTGATTAGATCAAATTTCTGTCAACGATAAATATAATTTTTAAAATAAATTGTTGACAAAAATCTGATTCGATCAACGTGATTTTTTATAGGGATAAAGTACTCAACGAGTTTTACATATTGAACATTTGGATTATCGAAATAAGACCCGTGATAGACCCCATAGGCCCAATGTGGATTGGAGACAAGCCTAGCCCAAATATAATATACAAGTCAGTTTTGTAGATTTATTTCTAAATTTAATGATGTGTAAATAAGATAATTAAAAAATGATTAGAGAAGATATGAGAGAAAGTGATTTGTTTTAAGGAGCATACTTCTCTCCAGTCCAAATCATGTTGGAGGGTGTTGTTGGGCCTTCGTGGGCCCACAATTGAGTCATCATCGATGATCTGAATTGTTCAATATGTAGGATTTGTCGAGTGCTTATCTCTGTAAAAAATCACGTTGATCGGATATCAATATCTACTTAATCGGATCACATTTATGTCGACGGTAAATATAATTTTTAAAATAAATTGTTGACACAAATATTATACGATCAAGTGTCTATTGATATCCGATCAACATGATTTTTTGCAATGATGAAATACTCAACAAGTCTACATAGTGAACGGTTTGAATTATCGATGTAGATTACATGTTGAGCCCACAGAGGCCCAACAACACCCTAATTGAAAAATCCAACTCGAGAAAAATTTACTCTCTGTTTTAAATATTTTAATATATTACCACATTATTAAATTTAATTTTTTTTTTACCTAAATAGCACTGCTCATAAATCTATGTATCTCGAAATCAATTCCACAAAACTAACAACAATGATAGAGACCACTAATTTTGGAGCTTTAAAATGACCACTAATGACATGGCACTCAATAAAAAAAGAAAAAAAATACAACACCAAGGCCAAAACATCAAATCATTCATGGTGAGACCTACTCCCACATCATTAGTGGTAGCACTAATTAGTACTCCCACTCATTTTCCCAAAACTAAACACATACAGTAATAAAATTGCACCTATAAATACGTGTGTATCATAGGGGAACTGCATGAAACATTCATCCCTAGTAAAACAAACACAAGACCATGGCATTGTCTATTTCCACCACGACCACCGGCGCTGCTACCGCCACTGCTGTCATCTCATTGATCCTTCTCCTCCTCCTTCCTCCTTCTTATTGTTACGAATTTGTCCCTGACTCTGATGCAAATCTTATAGAGGTCGCGCTAAATTTAGAGTTCTTAGAAACAGAGTTCTTCTTATATGGCGCCTTGGGACATGGCTTGGATAGCATCGCTCCGAGTCTAGCCGCCGGAGGTCCACCACCGATTGGCGGCACACAGGCTAAACTAGACGCTTTGGTAAAGGACGTTATCCTCCAATTTGGGTTGCAGGAAGTTGGACACTTGAGGTATATATGTATCATCTAACTGAGGTAATTTCTTTGTTTGGATAATTTTCCTGTATAATTTTTCAAGTTTTGAATATGTTGCAGGGCAATTAAGAGCACGGTGAGAGGGTTTCCGAGGCCACTGCTGAATATAAGTGCAGAAGTATTTGCAAAAGTGATGAACAGTGCAATTGGAAGAAACTTGGAGCCACCTTTCAATCCTTATGATAATGAACTTAACTTCCTACTTGCCTCCTATGTTATTCCTTATGTTGGACTCACTGGATATGTTGGAGCTAATCCAAACTTACAGAGTTTCGCTGCCAAAAGGGTATATATGTGTGTGTGTGTGTGTGTGCCGATTTCAATAACTCAACTTTTGTATCTAGTTTTTGATAAGTATTGCTCCAGCTATTGTTATTCTGCAATCTATTTAAAACCATTTTATGATACCTGATTTACAAAAAAAATTGTTATGGACTGTAAAAATTTATCTCGATTTTTTCTGAGTTTGTGCCATTACTAGTTTGTTTATGTATTTATATGCATGCATGCACGTGAATGTATCAGCTAGTTGCGGGGCTTTTGGGAGTGGAGTCCGGCCAAGATGCAGTTATCCGAGGAATGCTCTACAGGCAGGCGACAGCAACGGTGGACCCATATGGAATCAGTGTGGCAAATTTCACAGACAGAATCTCAGAGCTGAGGGATAGGCTGGGATGCGATGGCCTGAAAGACGAAGGCCTTATAGTACCAGAAGCTGAAGGAGCTGAGGGAAAGATTTCAGGCAACGTGCTTGCCGGAGACAAAAACTCTCTTTCTTATGACAGAACTCCAGAGGAGATACTGCGAATCGTGTACGGTAGCGGAGATGAGCATGTCCCCGGTGGCTTCTACCCTATGGGAGCTAATGGTCAAATTGCCAAGTCATATCTGCAACGTCCATGAAGATTTTACTGATGATTAATAAGCCAGTGTTGGTGTTGAATAACGAGCTAGCTAGCTTACTTTTCAACTTGTCAAGTGTTGGTGTGTTTACAGTATATGTAGAACTTGAAAGACGAAGGCCTTAATAAGCCAGTGTTGGTGTGTTTACAGTATATATAGAACTTGTCAACTTGGCTTATAGTGGCTAGTCTAGAGATAAATTTGAATAAATGTTCATGGTTGTTTCATTTTATGTACAAGAATAAAGAAAGATTATCCTTCTCGGTTGGTTTCTTCGCAAACATTTTTCTAACATATTTTTTTTTTTATCAGTAAAATAAAATTTTATTGATGAAAAAAATAAAAATATGTGAAAAAATTACATCAACAAAGAGGGAAGTGCAGGTGTGGTGAGAGGTGAGAGCTACAGCAGGTGTGGTGAGAGGTGTGGGCTACAGCAGCACAGGCGTGATGTGATCAGAGGTGTGGTGAGAGCTACAGCAGCATAGGTGTGGGCTTGGGGAGTTTGTAGTAGCATAGGTGTGGTGAGAGGTGTGGGCTACAGCAGCATAGGCGTGATGTGATCAGAGGTGTGGCGAGAGCTACAGCAGCATAGGTGTGGGCTTGGGGAGTTTGTAGTAGCATAGGTGAGAGATTCTTGGTAATTGGGTTGATCAGAGGTGTTTGGTGGGTTGATTTTTGTGGGAATTTTGGTATTTTAATGTTTAGTTAAGTCGTTCTTAGTTTTTTTGTTTTCAAAAAAAAAAACGTGAGGCTAAGGAGTTGGTTGTATGGATGCGAGTAACAGTAGTAGGGGTATTTTTATACTTTCGAATCTCTCTCAAAGCATGTCGTCTTCCTATACCTTTAATTTCATGCTGTTAATGAAATTTTTCTTTACCAATCAAAAAAAAAAAAACAAAGAGGGAAGTGCAAAGAGTATCAACGCTAACCTTAACAATCTCAACTAGGTTGGCATCACTAAAGAAACACAATCTTTACAAGTACTAACCCAAAGATTGGTGAGAAACTAATTAAGAGGAACCAAAAAAACAGAAAAGCAAACAATAAAAGAGAACAACATAAGACAGCATACACCAGCACCAAATCCTTGAGCAGACCAGCCACACAGATCAGCGGCATGCTCCGCCCCCAACAAACTCCTCTAATATTCATAATCAAAATGCCAGCAAGCTCCTTGCAACAGCAGCATACACTAAGTAATTAACACCCAGGTAGCAACAAACAGGCCCAACAATTTCATCATCAGCAGAACCAGAACAGAACCCATACATAACAACTTGAATTTGATAACACTATTTTAGTATAATGCATATTTTTAAATCTTCTCCTCATAGCCATCCTTCTTGCCTTATTCCATCCTTCAATCAGAAACAAATTAGACAGGACATTCATCCCCACAAATTAGACAGCAAACAAATTACTTTTTCTAACATGGTTGGAATATGAAAGGATCCGAAATTATAAAAAATTATCACAAAAGTCTATACCTAGTCGCTGTTTAATAAATTTTTGTAATTTATCCACTGTCCTTTTCTGTAATTTTTTATTATGTAAATATTTAGCCCTGGTTACATCTAACATATTGTTTTTGAGAAAACAAGGTAATTACTCCTAAATTACTTTCATATATATATATATAATATATGGTACAAGGGTTTGTTAAAATATCTCAAAATATGTTAAGAGTTACATTTGATTTCAATAGTTTAGATTATACTTATCAACTAATCCAAGGGTTAAGATGAAAGTTGTGTTTTTGCTTCTTGCCCAAATATATGACTTTTCACTTATTCTCTCTGTTTCCCATGTTAGACATACATTCATCTCTCTTCTTACATACTCCAACAACCCTTCTTTACTTACATTTTCCTCCCCCTTCTCTTTAAGTTTCAATTCTACAATATTAATAGGTGACACTCCTATAATCTTCAACTATGGTGGTTCTCTCTCACTCTCTCTAATCTCTATTATTTGTCAATTCTATTTGTTCATTACGAGACCATTAACAGTTTCAATCATCTCTTCAAACTATAAAATATGATGTCCTATCTCTCTCTAACTATTTTAGAAAATTATTGAGTAAATGGGTAATTGAAAGTGCCCTCTCTCTAACTGTGTGTGGTCTGCTGTTTGGATGCTCCAGCAGAGGGAAAGATGGTTTGCTTTATTGAAATGGTTTTCTCTCTCTAACCTACAAAATGGGAATTTATTTTGGTTTATTCATCAACTACCCTATTTCTCTTTAAAAGTTTGTGGGCTTCATCAAGATGCTAACCAACCACTGTGTGTGGTCTGCTGTTTGGATGCTCCAGCAGAGGGAAAGATGGTTTGCTTTATTGGCCGGTTGTATTTTTTATCTGTTGGCTTTGGTATGTTTCTGATTTTGGTTGTATTGTGGGTTGGGTTTGTTGATTGTGGTTGGTTACTCACCAACTCACCATCTTTCCCCTACCCCTTCCCCCTCCCCTTCTCCCTTATTGATGTATTCCCTTACTCGGTTTTCATCAATAAAGATTCCTTTTCTTCGCTGATCAAAAAAAAAGAAAGTGCCCTCTCTCTCTCTTGGCCGGTTGTATTTTTTATCTGTTGGCTTTGGTATGTTTCTGATTTTGGTTGTATTGTGGGTTGGGTTTGTTGATTGTGGTTGGTTACTCACCAACTCACCATCTTTCCCCTACCCCTTCCCCCTCCCCTTCTCCCTTATTGATGTATTCTCTTACTCGGTTTTCATCAATAAAGATTCATTTTCTTCGCTGATCAAAAAAAAAGAAAGTGCCCTCTCTCTCTCTCTCTCTCTTCAAATCGTTTTCTCTCTCTAACCTACAAAATGGGAATTTATTTTGGTTTATTCATCAACTACCCTATTTCTCTTTAAAAGTTTGTGGGCTTCATCAACTTTTAGATTTGGGTTTCATCCTTTTACATTGATTGAAAATGCCCTTTCTCTCTCTCCTCAAATGAATTTCTCTCTCTAACCTACAAAAATTCCAATTTAGTCAATAATTTTCTTTTGGTTTCTCTCTCTAACCCAATGCCTTCTTCATCCTTTTACATTGATGATTGAAAATGCCTTCTTCAAGTGGGTTTCTCTCTCTAACCAAATGTCTTCTTCATCCTTTTACATTGATGATTGAAAATGCCCTCTTCAAATGGGTTTCTCTCTCTAACCCAATCAGAAAATGCCCTCTCTCTTTCTCTCTCTCCAAATGGGTTTCCCTCTCTTCAAACTATAAAATATGATTTGGGTTTCATCCTTCTGGTTTTGTTCATCAACTATCCTATCTCTCTCTAAAAATTTGTAGGTTTTATCAACTTTTTTATTTTAGTTTTTTGATTTGGGTTTCATCTTTTTATGTTGATAAATTGATCCCATTTTTTTGTTGATGAATTGGTTAATGTAGTATTGTTTCTCATTTTCCTATCTTGGGCAATAAAATTACACAATTTGATTATTTTTTTATTATTTTTATTTAAAAATGAAAATCAAATTATCAAATTATCTGTAATGTGATCACGCCATTATTGTTTTCAATCACTTTGGATCATGCTAAGCGTTGTTTGGATGGCCATCACAAGATTATTAAGTGGTTGTTTGGGATTCATTTTAAATTTTTTTTTTTAGTTAATGTGTTTAAAATTTTATTTTTTTAGTGAGTGAAACATGCTAATGTGATTTTTTTTTTCTTTTTTTTTTTATAAAAACAACTCATGACAATTGATTTTGTGGCTTTTAAGTTTTTGACTTCTTAGCCTATTGCCAAATGCATCCTTAATTCTCAATTCACATCATTAGTTTTATTTGATTTCTTACTTCTTCTTCTTCTTTTTTTCTTTTTTCTTTTTTCAAAGCAATAGGTACTATGTACTTAATATTTAATCGGTTGTATTTTTTAAATTATCTATTTAATGTGATATTATTCATTGATTTTTAGTTGGATAACATAAATTCTGCAATGGCAAAGCAAGATTGAACTGACAGTATTGTGTGTATAGCTTTAGTTACCTTCATCAAATTTATATGTTTGTATTCAAATTTATTGATTCATTATGATGTAACGACCCAATCTTGGCAAGGCAAAACCCCGCCAAGGGGGTGCACCTCAAACGCTATAGCACCTTTACACAACAATTACTGTATAATTCTTACATCACATCACCAAAAGTGCATATGACCTTTCAATTGTCCAACATATATGAGATGATCCATTCAAAGACAAAAATATCATCATGCTACAAGATAGTTCCCAAGCATCACTTCCCCAAAAATAAAACATACTATTCACGAATCCATCAATTCATCCAACTTCATAAGCAAATATTTACAATCAACCTCCTTCATCAAAATAAAATAAAGGATAAACTTACATCCTAGAATGACCCTAAGCAAAACCTCAACTACAAGATGCCCACCTTTGATCCTTCAAAAAAATTCTAATCTTCCAAGTTGAGGCGAGCCACACAAAAGTCTATGAATCTGGAAAAAAAAAAAAAATTTATTTAAAATGAATGAGCTAAAGCCCAATGAGTATACCAATACCATGGAGTTATAAAACTTGCTCCTTCCAATTGGGTTCAAAATAAAGATAATAAACATAAGAGCTTAATTGGACTAAAATTTATACATAATAAAAAAAAATAGAAATAATGAAATAAAATTTTCATAAAACGTTATCAAGATTTTTCCAAGGAATCTTATAAGGAAGAAAAAAAATACATTTGAATAATGAAAGTAAACAAAAATACAACTTTTCAATACATTAAGATTTCATGTCCATCATACGAACCACTACATAGCCTTAGGGTCGCGTTACCTCGCCACTTAGATGATGACGGTATCGTTACCCAAAACATAACCATAGGAACATAACTCATGTCATCGTAGCACTTCAATTCTCATTTCAATGTTTCGGTCCCCAGGACCCCTTATATATACAACGACCCTTACGGTCCTTAAAACATTTCAGTCCCCAGGACCCCAAAGCATTTTGGCCCTTGTGGCCCCAAATGCTATATTCGGTTATATGATCAATAAAATAAATACCCTCGCAGATCTTGGATGTCTGAGCCAATTGATTATCTTTACTTTCAAGAAACCTTGACTCTTCCTCAACTCGGAGGTCTTGAGCCAATTCCTCTAAAGTAAGATCTTTTTTTTTGTGTTTCAGAGTTTTCTTAAAATCCTTTCAAGAAGATGGCAGTTTCTCTATTATAGGTGAAACTACAATAGATTCATCTAGGTTCATATTCTTTTGTCGAAAC